TTTTTTTTTTTTTTTTTTTCGTCTCTGCTGCTGCCTGATTGCGTTCTTCTGCTTCCAAATGAGGTGTGTGGTTGACCGGTCAGTGTTCGTAATTCTGTATTTTCTTAACTCTGAGGTTCTACTATAGTTTAAAAATTCTTTGAGAGCAGAAACAAGAAGGTTTTATACTTTTGGTCATTTTTTTTTTTTTTTTTTTTTTTATTGCTGAGGCTATAAAAACACAGTATTATTAAAGCCAGTCACAACCCAATCAAATTACAATAATAGGTCAAGTCACTTTTCCAAAGCAAGATTGTATGTGTAGGTAATATTTTTCTTAGTGTCCTGTAGCTATAAGTAGTAAAAACCTCACGGTTACTAGAAAGCTTTGTGGTTCAGGGTTTAGTTTCACCAGTAACTTATTAATAATATATGTTCCTTTTATTTGAGATTTTGGTGATATTTACACTTGTATGTTTTCATAATCGATCATCCAGGAATGATTCAGGTGGTCTCTTAATATGTTCACCTGATGCTATTTCACTTTCACATTCTAGTCTCAAAAGTTACTTTTAGATTTCATTGAGTGAATTTTACTTCACCCTTTCTTGTGCATTTTAGAAGAAATTTGCTTCACCCACATAAAACCTAAATAACTAGATGCAGGGAATGTATCTTTGTCAATGTGATACACAGTGACTTCTGCTCCAAACAGCAGGTACTCCAGAATTGCAGTTGTAGCAATTGGGGTGTTAGGCCTGCTGGATTCACATAAAGACATCCCCATTCCTTCAGTACTGGTCTACGAAACTGGCACAGAGGGTCTGTGTGGCTCATGTGCCCACTGTTCCTCTGTGCAGCCTTGCAGCCAGGAGTTAAAGGAGAATTTCACACTTAACTGCATTAATTGTAATTTAGATTTTGCTTAATCTTTCCTTAATTACACTAATTCTAGTGTTCTGTATTTTGATTGTTCTTTTATAATAAAACTCGTACCCTGAAATATTATTTTTAGTCCACCTCATCCTAGCACTCCACTTCATCAATTATATTTTTTCTTACGTTTTAACCTTAAATGTTAAAATGTGACTAATCATTAGTGGCAAGAAGAGGAATTTTTTTTTATAATAAACAAGATATGTGGCAACTCCAGAAACCTCTTGTATCTAAGCTTTTTTTTAAAAAAAAATTGTTTCTATTCTCTTAGCTTTCCACTTGGTGTGTTTAAAAATAATTTGTCAATAGTTCAGTTAAAAAGAGCATCAGATTATGTTATGAGGACATGGTCAAGTTGATTTCATTTGTAAATTAAATTTCTTTTAAAAGTCCATATTCTTTTTGTTCATCATTCAAATAGTTTTTTCATTCCATTTTAAAATGTTTTAAGGGTTTTTCAGCTCCCTTGTTGATGTATAGAAGGGATTCACTGATTTTTAGAGGAGAAGCAGTCAGTGCACCAAGTGCTATCAGATGCTCAAAGTAAACCGTCTTAGATCTCTTTTGTTTAGCTAATTTTTGTTATAGATCTTACAAGTAACTACAGAAGATATTTTCAGGTATGTGAGAGTTTCAAATTGAGTATCTCCAAATTATTCAGTATAAACATGTACTTATCTCTCGATGGGGAAGTATGTGAGAGCCTTACATATTTGAAATGCAAAAAAATGACAATCGGGGATCTGGTTTGCGAGTGCTAATATGGAAAGTCAGAGTAGGGAGGGCAACTTTTATTATATTTTTTTGCCCAGTGAATTTGAAAAGTGCCATAGAACTAAGTGAACTGTGTTCCTATACAGAGATAAAATCAGATTTCTGTAGTCTACATTATTATTTTACATAATAGCAAATATGACTATGTATACAGTAGCTGAATTAATTCATCTTTAATGTAAACTTTTGAATCACAAATTACTAGCTTTTATCTTTACAGTTAACTTTTTCCCCACATATAAGAAAAGTCAGTTTTTATATCTTCTCTTCCCCTTTGCAGGTGCCAATATTGAAACCCATGGACCTAATGGTAGAAGCAAGTCCCCGAAGGATATTTGCAAATGCACACACGTATCACATAAACTCTATTTCAGTAAATAGTGATCATGAAACATACCTTTCTGCGGATGACCTAAGAATTAACCTATGGCATTTAGAAATCACAGATAGAAGTTTTAGTATCCTTTTCCTGTATGAATTCTATGATAATATATAAATTTCTCTGTTTTGACTATTAATAGAAACCCTTTTATTGTTATATCTGCAGTTTTACTAAACATAAGTGCCCTAAATACTTTCATTTAACTCCAGTCATATAATTAAACAATAGTTCAAATGCACTAATTCACAGTGAAGCATGTTTTTGAAATGGAAAGCTGCAAGTAGGAAGATATGTAGAGTTTAGGTAGTTTAATTTTGCAGAGTAGAAAGTGAAGATGAGGTGAAATGCTGGGAGCATATATCTTAAATGTGGGGGTCAGTCTTCCATTAAATGAGCTTATTGATAATATATGTAAAATAAAGAATTCCATTTTGCTAGAGAGTTCTATCTCCTGTTGTATTCAAAGTGTCAGCTGTGTAGTCTGATGTTAATCTTGAAATAAAGTAAAAACTTAGAATTTTGCGTACCAAGTATGGATATGCCTTGCAAACAATACTGAAAGTGACCCTTTTGCTATGGCTTAAGGCTGCCTATCTCAGGCCAAAATGGTCCGAGATATTTTGGCAAGTAATGTAGGTGTCTTCAATAAATGCAAAGGTGAGAGAAATATAAAATAGCCATTAAGTTGTTTCAGGGCATAAGGGGAATGAAGGCCATTCAGTCTTCAGTTTGTAAGATCCTGCAAAAAATTTCCACACAAATATTTTTAGTTTTTAGGGTACAGATTCTAGGACCAGCCCAGGATTATTTTTATGCTGCTCCTGTCCTTTTACAATGAGTAAATGTCCCCAAAGCAGAAGGGAGGATCTCACCTTATGCTTCTAAAAATATACCAGAATCATCAACACTTTTTTTTTTTTTAATTTTATTTTAGAAACAATAAAAATGTGAAATGCTATTTGTTGCCTTTACCAACAAACTTTCAGACATTGTAGATATTAAGCCCGCTAACATGGAGGAACTAACAGAAGTGATTACTGCCTCAGAGTTTCACCCACATCATTGTAATGTGTTTGTCTACAGTAGTAGCAAAGGAACTATACGACTCTGTGATATGCGTTCTTCAGCCCTCTGTGATAGGCATTCAAAATGTAAGTAACTTAGATTATATCTTTTTGCTTTATAGACTTGTTTGTCATATACAACAAGAGACTGTGTAGGTATTCTACTTATATAAACATTAAAATGTCAAATTCTGCTTATTGGTAAAGAACTTACAAAGGTAAGGAGTCATAGTTTTGTAGAATGGAACATTTTAATTGTCTTGTTCTAGGCCATCAGCAAGCAGAAGTGTAGCATGAGACAATTGACGATGTGACTCAAGTGCTTTTGGCACCAGTGAGACCTGTCTTCTGTCCAGACTCAGTCTTGGTGCTTCTCAAAGGTATCTGCTTAACAAGTGCCAGTTCAGGGCAGTTTATTGACATCTACCTTTGTGCATTAGGAACTGGGCTGAGGCTGCCAGAACCCATTTCATTTGTGACCATTTACAGCTATCGGAATGAATTTTATTCATAATGATCAGTGCTGGATTTGAAGCCAGTTCCCAGAGGTGAAAGGCCAGTGTTTTTGAAGCACTGAGCCACACAGCCTCATATAGGTGAGGAAAGCTTTTATATTTCCACCATAAGGAATAGGGCCCATCTTTACACACAGCCTGTTTCTTGGTTGTATTACAGTAGTAATGGTTTTATATATATCTACTTCCTGGGGTTGACCTAAATTGCATTGATATTTCCAGGTAAGCTCATATACTGTAGCAAAGATGAGGTTTTTTTTTTTTATTGGGGAAGGGAAATGCTTAAACATTGTGGCAAGTATGGTATGGTGCATTTCCTTTTTAGTCAACTTAGCTTATATAGTTGGAAATGTCAATGGCCAATCTAACTTGTCATATTTGTGTTAGTTTCCTTTACTTTGTAAAACGTACAGTAGTCTATGATGTTTTTATAAAAGGTTTGTAAGAAAGGACTTTGGTATTATTTCCTTGGTGTTGAATGGTTCATATTGTCATTGATTTGAAGAATTAAGAGTAAATGACTTTCAACCTAACCAAGGAGCATGTTTCAAGAAAGCAGACGAAGATTGTCATTGCAATTTCAGTGTAAATAGAAACTTGCTCTTCAGTAGATTTTGTGTGGTGCAATTTATAGTCACTTATAAATAAACCATGTTCCCTACAGCACCACTAAAATATGTGGGATCTGTAAAAGAAATGTACACTGGAGATGCTGACCTCTCTTACTGTTTCGCATTTAAAAAATTTTTAGATTTACTTTATGATAAAGTTATAGAATAATCGGTAGTCCTAGTGGAACACAGTGACTTTTGAATTTAACTTCATATACGTTTTCTTTGTTAGTTTCTTCCTCTTAACTTTCATTCTCAAACTCCAGGAATTGCAGCTTCTTGATATGTCCTAATGGGAGAACCCATTGGAGCTTAATAGCTAGTGATTCTAACTACGAGAACTTAGTGCCTTTTTAAAGAAAGATCACCTTGTTTTAAAAAAAAAAAAAAAAAAAAAAATCCCACAAAACTAAGCAGGGCTATGGTCTCTTTTTCTTTTATTTTTTTAAATGGAGGATTTAGTATTCAGGACCATGATTTTAAAATATGTAAATACTGAATAGCATTGCCATTTGTAAAATTTGGTGTATTGGATTCAGTTTTACTTTACATCTTTATTTACAGTTTTTGAAGAGCCTGAAGATCCTAGCAGCAGATCATTCTTTTCAGAAATTATTTCCTCAATATCTGATGTAAAATTCAGTCACAGTGGTCGATACATGATGACAAGAGACTACCTTTCAGTTAAAGTGTGGGATCTCAATATGGAAAACAGGCCTGTAGAGACATATCAGGTAAAGTGTTACTTTTTTAAAATTAAAAAATATTATCTTTTTCTTTTTTTAGATCTGTCTAATACTTCCTTAAATGTTTTAAGGTTCATGAATATCTTCGAAGCAAGCTTTGTTCTCTGTATGAAAATGACTGCATCTTTGACAAGTTTGAGTGCTGCTGGAATGGTTCTGATAGGTAAGGTTAACTTGTGAAATAAAGTTAATTTCAGAAATTTAGTCCCCAATCCTGAAAACACTTAAACATATGCTTATGTTAAGTGTGTGAACAGTCCTTTTGAACTCAATTTGCAAGATTAGGGTCTTAAATTATTTTCTTTTGCATCCTCAAAGAGGTGGCAAAGGCAATGTAAACTTTCTCTCAATTAACCCTATTTCAGTATAAATTATTGCTGCGGTTGCATACAACTAGCTTTTTTGGATTTCGACTTTAAAACTATCCTGAAACCATTTTTTTTCATAAGTTTTTGAAATAAGACAAAGAACTGGTTTTCAATATTTTGAAAGATCAGTTTTTGTTTAATTTTATTTCCAACCTTTCTATTGGTTTCTGTCCCTAAATTTGTTGTCAAAGGTAAACGATACATGTAGAAACAGAGGTAGCTGTATAATGCAGTTTTACGTCTTCTAGCTTTTGTTTTGTTATATGATCCATGGAAACGTTTAAAATTTCTGGATAAAAAGTGATATACAAGAGTGTGGTGGTTTGGAGCTGTGCTGTGATAACTTATTGATATTGTATGTTGCCCTGATTATTGGGTGTTTACTGTATGAATATATTGATATATTAGCTCAATAGAGGTATGTCTGAAATACAGGCAGGAAGGAGAAGAATGGCTCGAGAGCTACCTATCAGCAAACACTGGAGAGTTGTTAAGGGACAATGGCAGCACTGCTAGCTTGATTCTGCCTCAGTCTCCAAACAGTCTACAAAACTGATTTTGGCCAGGACCCGCCAAATACCAAAGAACAAAAGAACCATATAAATAGGAACATGCTCGGGGGGAGGTAGAACCTATAAGGAACCAGAGTAAAATAAGACTCTGACATAACAGCTCACTCCAGGTTTCTGAGGAAGCTAGACCTGCCTGTGTCAGCATCATGGGATGATAGGACCCTTAAATAAGATAGACATGCTTATAGACTTATTTATTTTAAAATCCTTTTTTCCCCTAACACTTTGTTTCTGCTGCAAAACAATACTTTTGTTTTAAGAAGGCTGTTTGGTCAATATAGACCTCTGGTCACAGATTCCTGAAGGGAAAAACCTGGTGCCCAAACACTGGGAGATCTGCAGGGCAGAAATGTTTGATAGGGTACTGTAGCCTAGGTCCCAGTCAAGGAGAGGGAGCATTGCAAAATTCCACCGTGGGATATAGGAATGAGCCTAACACCTGAAGGAGTGCACTCAGTGAGATAAGAAAGAGGACAGAGATGCAGCTACATCTGTAACCATGACCGAGAGCTTATTAGGGTCATAGCAAAAATCTCACTTGGAATGTTAGCAATCCTACCCTGCTTGTATCAAGTTCCAGAAAGGAGTGGTATCAATCTGTTTACATTTCTGCTAATACAAGAGTTAAATATCTTTCAGCAAAGTTGATCATTTTCTGAATTTTTCAGGCGAAAGGTTACCTGCATTACCTTTTTGATTTCTCAAAGTCAAAAGAACTATCCTAGGTTTAGAATGTTATATATAAACAAACCTGTTCTATAGTTAAGGCTCTGATATTGTCCTTGTTACACAAATTATGTGGCACTGTTTCCACCCCAGAGAAGTTCTTTCCCTCTCTAGTAAAATCCAATCAGTATAGTGTTCCTTGTATTTTGATATTAAAGTCAGCTTATTTTACACTGTTCTCAATTATTAAATTTTCACTGTGATGTAGATATTTGTATTAACTTTTATAATTTGTTCTCATCAGGGGAAGGTAGAGATAACTGGTATCTGGGAAGTGGCTTTGGGCTCCAGGAGGCAGTTTTGAAATACACATCCAAGTGTCTGCAGTGCAGGAGATCTGCCCTGCATTTCTGGTACTGCTAGCTGGAATTGGGTGGTTGCTCAAGGACTACCTTTCCCCCTGGCTGCTTCCAGTGCTGTAGGATGAAGAGGGGGTAGGGAAGGGATAATACTAGAGTAAGAATAGGGGCAGTTCTGCTGTCAGATGTGAAGGGGAGGGTGCTGCTACTTCACCAGCCACTTTCTCTTGTGCTGGTCCAGAGGGCTAGAGCAGGGAAAGGTCACGAGTGATTTGTCTGTGTCTGTAAGATAAGAGACAGTGAGGGGAGAGGATGTGTAGAATAGCAAGTGGGTGGGGAGAGAGCTGGAGAGGAGGCAGTGGTGAATGTGGTGTATGAAATAAATAATGTGGGAAGATGGATCAAAGGAGTAGCAATGAGGAAGGACATAAAGTAAGAGGGAAAAGAATATAGTGCAAGGTTCTAGTCTTAAACTTGAGTCCTGGCAGTCATTCATTCTGTGCACAGAAGAAATAAATTAGAGGCACGCTGCAGTGGAATAATGTATTATGGTCTCTAGTAATCCAAGTAAAATATTTCCCTTTCTTCTGGTTTTAAACAGTGCTATCATGACTGGCTCCTACAACAATTTCTTTAGGATGTTTGACCGTAACACACGACGGGATATTACATTAGAAGCATCAAGAGAAAGTAGCAAACCTCGTGCCATCTTAAAGCCACGCAAAGTGTGTACAGGTGGTAAGAGAAAGAAAGATGAGATAAGTGTTGACAGTCTGGACTTCAACAAGAAGATCCTTCATACAGCATGGCACCCCACAGAGAACATCATTGCTGTAGCTGCCACCAATAACTTGTATATATTCCAGGACAAAATTAACTAAAGATGGCTTATTTGAGGACAAAGTCGTCTTCTTGCATAGTTAAGCTCAGTTGTTTCTGTAAAAGAGAAGGCCTTGTTGTCCTACCAGTAAAGAACATTGATGCACTTACTTCCCTTTATAGATAAAGGAGAGAAGCTTGCCTGGTTTTGAGTTCATGGTGTAGTTCTGCCTTCAGTGAGGGGGGATGTGAGTTGCAATTTTCAACAAGAAAAAGCCCACTAGAAGCAGAATTGATGGACAGTGCTCAATAAAGGCCAATACTCAAATGTATTTATTTAAGTCTGAGCCTTCCTTTCCAGTTTATAGACCAAAAATTTAACACCCAAGAAGAAAACTTGTCATAAAAATGTAATTTCTGTCTCTGCGCTCTTTCTCTGCTGTAATATTTGGGCCTTTCAAAACATATATTGTGCTTTATGCCTGTAAAACGTTCCTCCTCTGGCCTTTTATCTAGGCTTAGGTGTTTTTATCTCTGAGCACTTAAGTAGGTCTTGAGTTGGGTGTGTAGGCAGACTTCCATGTATATTTACTCACCAACTGTATCTATAACCACACCTTCTGGTGTAAACCACTTAATAAAAATAACAAACTATAAAAAGTGTTTTTAAATCTGAAAGTATGTATTCAGTCTTTTTATTTTTTTATCGCATGTATTGAGGTTGTGAAAAATAATTCTGATGGGAAGATTTGAAAAGTTTGTCCCAGAACATTGATTTTTGACAGGCAGGTATGAACAGTTTCATGTAGTATGAAATATTTCAAACTCTGAAATTAGTTTCCACAAAATTTGTATTAGTTTAAGTTGTGTTGGTTTCATGTAAAATTACATCATACTTTATACAAAAAGTAGGAGATTGAAAAGGTTGGTATAAAGTTATCTAGAGCCATTATAGAAAGAGACCACCTTGAACAGAAGGGAAAAAAAATCTTAAAACGTTCAACTAAATTGCTGCTTTAACAATTCAAAATCCGATTTAACAGATGTCTCTCAAATGTTTGACATAGACACATACCTTATGTGCATTACTTTTTTTTTTTTTAACCTGTTTAGTACATTTGTTTTGGAAAAAATATACTTTATTTTAAATATTAAAAATTTGGCATAATATATATAGTGAAATTGTAGTGAATTTCACATTGCAGTTAAAAAAATTAACTTATTATGCCAAGCAGCAGCACAATATAACAAATTTTAATGTATTGTAACCCATTGACACCATGAGATCAGGTTATATGGAGGCTACATACTGATATGAAATGCATTTGTGGTAATGTCTGTTCCTGTTGACAACAGGAGGTTAAAGAATAATTCTTGGTACTCTTTTTCAAAAGAGCCTGAAACTCATCCATCAGTTTTTCACCCAAAACAGGTGTGGGTGTAAAATTGTACCTGAAATAACTGCAAGCTCATTTTAATAGCATCAAATTACCTAGATATGTAAGGACTATAAAATGTGCCTGCAAATTCAGAGGCGTCTTCTGAAAATTGGACCCTTTGAGCTTCCCTGATGAAATACAGAAGTGTGGTTTACACTCCATTTTTAATAAAATGAAGGTGTATTATGATTACTCAATCAGAGATGGATATGCAAGAGAAAAATGTCTCTGTTCCTTCCCTCTCAATTAATGTCCATAGTGCCACTCTTGTTCACAATAAGCTAGTAAATACAGCTAACTTTTTGGGGTTCTACGAATAAAGTTTAAATAAAAATCTTATACTGTATATTGGTTGTGACACTATTTGCAAATCTTGAAATGTGGAACTAGGTCATTTAAGCATTAGATTTGACCTTGTTCTTAAAATACATAATAGAGCTAATACAATGGGATTGTATATACTTGTTCAATTATTTTGACCAAAAAGTTTAATAAATTTTAAATGTTTACCTGAACGTGCTCTGTGTATTTTGACAACTTTTTCGCTTCTGAAATTGAAATTCTAGCAGAGTTCCCCCAATATAATTCAATGTAGACTTCCATATTAAATTAGTATGCTTCTTAGGAAAGGGAAATGACCAAGTATATTTAGCAAAAGGCTGTAGAATCTCCTGCAAACACTTCTTATGCACTTCACTTGGTTCACTTGAGTAGTCCCATTAATTTTCCACTGAGCAAAGTTAAACATGTGTAAGGGCTTGTCTACACTTAAAATGCTACGGTAGTACAGTAGTGCTTCAGTGTAGACATTATGTACGGCCGACATGAGGGGTTCTCTTGTGAGTGTAGGTAATCCACCTCCCCGAGAGGCAGTAGCTAGGTTGATGGAAAAAGTCTTCCATCGACCTAGTGCTGTTTACACAGGGACTTACCCAAGTCATGTCAAGCCGATGTATGGATTTCTCCCACCCTTGACCAATGTAGTTAAACCCAACTCATTTTCTAGTATAGACCGGGACTACGTGTTTGTAAGGTCAGAGCCTTAATTCAGAAGGACATCTCACCATACTGGATGACTGTAAATGCAGTTGGGCTGCTTATTATAGAGCCATTATAGAGCGTCCAGCAAACCCCAAACCATAGGTGGGATTAGGAGAAAACTAAAGGATTTTGTGAGAGAGATTATATTTGGCTACTTCATATAAAAAAAAATTTTTTTTAATTCTTTGGTTAAACAGCTGGTGGTTCAAGAAAAACTTTCAACGTGCATCTTACTTGGAAACAATTTTTCTTGTCCTTTTGTTTTGATGGGTGGCATTCTTCCACTCCAATTTTCAAATATTTGCACAAAAATAAAATTTGAGATTAATAAAATCAATTGTTTGGTGTCTGAAATCAGTTTGTAACACCACATTACTCTTTTCAAGTTAAATAGTCTTGATCCTGACCCAGTTGAAGTCAGGATGAAAACTTCTATTGGGAGTGGTGGGAGCGAGATTTCTATTGTCTGTTTTCTAGGGAGGTTGTTGTACTGCACCCAACACCATGGTATCTTACGGAGACAGAATTATAGTATGATTTCAAGTGGGAGGTATAAACAGGAGAAATATTGTTAGCATTAGATATCTGTAGCACTGGACAGATTATTTATCAGTAAAAGCTGATAAATGTTGATTTCACTGTGTACACCCAAACTGATTTTTAAAAAAATTTCGATGATAGACATTTACAGATGGGTAAAGTTAGAAAAATGCTCCTTGAGAACTTTAGAGGGTTTTTTAAGGCTATTTACTTAGTGTGTGTGTGTGTGTGTTGACAATTTTAAACTTTTTGAATTTCAGTATGTGCTGTCAGAAATAGTCTGACACACACACACACACCCAGTTGCGAAAATTTAAATTGATAAATTGAAAAAATACAAATACATCAATAAAATCGGTCGATTTTTTTTTTTTAATTGAATTCTTCAACCCTAGATGTGTTGTCTACAAATATTGCAAGAGAAATTAAGTCCCAAGCTCTCATCTTGGCAGGTAAAAATGTTCAGTTTAGGAAATAAGGATCCTTATTTTATGCAAACATTTCTGAGGAGGAGGATAAATCTTTAGGAGGGAGTAATTTTCAATTATGTGAGGAAATGAGAAGAGTAACTCCTGAATCTTTGTATCAGAATTTACAGATACGTCAAAATTTCCCTTTTTGATCTATCCTTTGATACTTTTCTTTCCCATATAATGTATAGATGTTTAAATGCACCAAGCATATCCAAGAGGATCCTCCCTTTAGAACATTTTAAGATTCGTATGCTGTAATCAGTTATAAAATAACATTTGATAAGGGAAGGCAATGTTGTCTAGTGGCTAGAGCACTGGATTCAGGAGATATAGGTTCTATTCCTGACTCAGCCTGCTGGGTGACCGTAACAAGTCATTTCACCGTCTGTGCCTCAGTTTTCCCATCTGTAAAACAGGGATAAAGTGCTTTTGAGAGCTATAGATGAAATGGAAAATTTCTTACTGATAATTTTCTTTCAGATTGCAGTGTCTTCTACAGTTCTGGACACCTGGGGTTACTCTGCTCTGTCTGCAGCTCACAGAGGCAGATCAATATGGTGCCATGCGGTCTGGCTACACCTTCTCAATTCATCTGGCAGCAAGCAGGAGCAATTTCCAAGCTGTAAAGCTTGTATAACATAAATTATCAGAAAATTTCTGTTCTGCAACCCAGAGTTTTTACAATTCTGTATGTGGGAAGTTATTAAACGAAAGTTCAATAGGAAAGAAGTACTATCTACTGTGCCCCCCACCCCTTTGTGAGCTCACTTAGAAGTCAGTATTATTTCTGGGCCACTGTCTGCATTACCTTCCTGCCAAAGGAGGGCTCTGCAGAAGATAGAACGCCCACACTGTAGTGCTTAATGAAGCTGGAGACCAAGTGGCCACTTTGCAAATTTCCAGGTGGATGCATTTGTTCATTCCGCCCATGAGGTTGCTAAAGATTTCATGGAGTGCACCGTGATCCCTTCTGGGACAGGAACCTCTGCTTTTATAGGCTTGCACGCTACATAATGTAATTCACCTAGAAATGGGGGACTTGGAAGCTCTGAGTCCCTGGCATTTCAGGTGGAAGGACACAAATAGGGAGTCCAATCTTCATGTAGATTCTGTATGCTTGAGAGATTTTCAGCGCTCTTCTGACATTTGTGTGCCACACCTTTTCAGTTGGATGTTGTAGTTTTGGAAGGAAACACAACCTCTTGGGAAGCGTGGAAGGGCAGTCTGCCTTAGGAAGAAAGGATTCTTGTGTCAAAAGCACCACCTTGTCCTCATGGAACACACAGTAAGGCTCCTGCTTAGATAAGGCTGCCAGCTCCAATGATCATCTGGCAGATGTGACAGCTACTAAGAATCAAGTCATAATGGCTAAATAAAAGGCTGACTTTGAAGTCAGAGGTTTGAGGGGGAAGGCTTGTCAGAGCCCTCCAAACTAGCAGAAGGTCCCATTTTGGGAAGAGCTGCCTGACCCCTGGCTAATCAGACTGAAGGAATCTGGCTCCCTGCGGATTGTCAGGGAGCCAGAGAATCCTGCGAATAGCACACAACTAAGAGCAGACACAATGGTACTGGGCTGGAAGCCTCTGTCTGCCTTCTTGGAAAAAATCCCAGAATGTTTGGAATTCCTGGATTTCTGGAATTCATGTTCTCTTGGCAACAGTTGCTGGATCTGGCCCAGATAGGAGTGTGTTTTTAGTCTGGATACTCTCCTAGAAAAAAGTGATGTCAACACTGGAGGACAGACTGAGACTGTCTAGTGCTTCTTCCTCACTAGCCAGGCTGTTAGTTGCTGCCACTTTAGATCTGAATAAAAGGAGGACCTTGAGAGAAGAATGTCTGGTCTCCAAGGATGCTAGAGTGGGGCTCCAGTTTCAGCTCTATCAGGTCTGAGAACCAGGGTTGCCTCGGCCATTGTGGAATAACCAGTATTACCATCGCCTATTCTCATTTTATTTTCTGGACCACCTTCCCCAGTATTTGAAAGGGTGGAAAAGTATAAAGTATGCCCTGTGGCAACTGTGATAAGGCATTCGTACCCATGGATCTCGAGGTGATGATCAGGGTCCAGACCCCACGATGGGAGATCAGGGGTCTGAACCCCAAAGAATAAGTAATTGAATCAGCAGGTTGTACACAATGTTACTATGTATAAAAATGTAAAGAAAGGTCTTTCATGAAAGCTTTT